GAGGAAGAGCCAGATGGGGAAGAACAAGATGAGGTAGAACGGGAAGAGGAGAGAGGAGACGGGAGAGGAGATGATATGGGAAGGAACAAGAAGGATGAGAACCTAGAAGGGGCATAACTAGATGAAGGAATTAAGATAGAACCTAGAGGGGATCGCAGACAAGTGTAGAGAGAAATCAGGCTAAAGATGACCTAAATATGAGAGCAGAATATAAGCTTATAACTGTCACAGAATAATAAAGTATATGGACTAAGGAGTTTCGTGTACATAGATTCATTTCTTCTCATCAAAGATTAATTATCAGCTGGTTGTAGATTCTTCCCGGACCCTGGGAGGGGACTATCGAGGGGCTGGACCCCCATAGTCCCCGATACTGTACCACTGTTCAGCATACACATGAACATGAGTTCAGAAATTTCTATGTATGCAGACACACACGCAGCTCTCGATCTCAGACTCTCCTAGTTCATCACATCCTCTTTAGACCTTCCTTCCCGAGAGTTGCAAGCAGCGTGAGATCTGCCTCCTTCTTCTTGCGTTTCCTTTTCTACCCAGCTCAGTTCCAGGCTCAATTAACCAGGAGCGACTTGCACCTGGATTTGCTGGTGAAGAGTCTAGTACAAGCCAAAGGGCAGCTGACCTGACGGAAGTGGGGAGGTGTGAGCTGTACAGTCACTTAAGGAGGTGTTTTCATCTTCCCTTAATTCTGAGGTTGGGCCAGACGCATGGGTATGTATGGTTGTGCCTGTTTGTCACGGGCCCAGACGCATGGGTATGTATGGTTGTGCCTGTTTGTCACGGGCTATCTTCTTTTTGCCTGACCAGATAGAGCCTTCTAGGCAGAGGACATAAGAAAGAGAACCAGGTCTTTTTGGTTTTCCTGAATGGCTGATTGTTCATCCTTCTCTTCTCCAAACTACATTCGAATGGCTATTTATTTCTGACACTGAACTGGTGGAGCCTCTTGTGTGATTTTTCCTCACGAGATGAGAACGAATGTCTACTCACCCAAGACACTGACAGCAAGCAATTTCATCCAAGTCCAATTTGGTAAACTAATGAACTTACTGGGATTGTTTGCAGAGCATAGGTGAAGGGTAACTTACAGGACCATGGATGACTCAGAAGCAGCTACATCACCAAAGGTCCACCTCAGCATGGTGACAATTTGAGAAAGCCAAATCCCCTGAGCACTTCCACATGGCTCACAGACAGTTCCACAGTTGAGGAGTCTCCCCCAGCCATTCCTATTGCTTATATAACCTTGAGGAAAGGATCTGTGAATCATTTAAGTTTTAGGAACTTTCTGAGACTTGTGAGTTGTTTATCTTCAGAGGTTTGTAAAATCTGTTTGCTTCCTGAGCCTCAGCAAGCCTCCCTCTAGTTTGTAAGTTTAAATTCAGAGGAAATTGCTGCACAACAGGAACATCTTACTCTCCCCCTGCCCTTAAAAGGTTTCTCCTTGCATCCTACTTAAAGTAGGAATGACCAAGATGGTAAGTGTGAGA